GTCCTATTTGAACTTTCACCCCAAACGATGCTGCATTTATTTATAGTCTAGTTAGTCTTAGATGCTTATTCTCTAATTTGTTTTAGTCACAGTCTTCTAAAGAAGCAGATTGTCCTTCTGATGACGCATTCGTGTTAGGAAAGTTCCCGGGGGCCTCGTCGGTAAAGGACTTAGCAGAGTACCATTATCATTCTGTTGCACACTGGAAAAACCTCCCATTATCAAAAAGCAATTTCCTTAACGAGCTATCAAAATTATTATGCCCCATCACACCGTCTCCTTTATGGGCGGGCTATTATGTTTGGCAAAGAAATGTAGCATAGCGTATTTGTTTGAAGAAACATTTCCCTCCCTGGAAGAAACATGTCATCTTGGGACAGCACCGTGGAAAGCTGTGTGGCAGCTTTCTTGTTTGAATGTTCTGGCATAGGACGTCTTGGTTTAGGAGACCGCTACACCTTCATGGACCACCTTCTTGTGACAAATTAGGAGTTTTTCCTGTAACTACGTCTTAACCGTGAGGGATGGTGGTGAACAACAGTATATCATGAGTTTGGCTAGCCATTCATACTTTAAGAAGCCCTTAGAATTCTAAATAGTATGTAATTCAAACACGTTCAGGTAGACTTTGGTCAAGATCCAGGCTGTTTACTTTTCTTTTCACTCTCACTCCTGCAAGTAGAATGAACAGGGAATGAACAGGAAAAATATATCTGGTTGGACTGGAATATAGCAGCAGGGCCAGATTCTTGCACATGTGACCCATGAAGTCATTCAGGGCATCATGCTCAGAAGGGCCCGGCACTTAGCTCTGAAGTTACCATCTTGGAATTTTGAATACTTTCTGAATAAGGGCCACCACCATTTCCTTGTGTATGGGGCACCACAGATTAGAGAGCAGATCCTGCTTCTGGGTCATTAGCTTCTCACCGAGGCTTAGATAGTGACAAAAACAGGGGAGATGGAGGCCCAGTGACAAGAAACACCTGCTAAAGACGTAACGAGGGTCTGCCTGGGATCATGTTATTGTTTTAATATTGGTCTTTCTGTTTTTTTATAAAAAACTTCCTGCCTCTTAAATTCCTAAATTTACAAGTCAAGAAAAAATTCTTTGGGTGTGGAGAGAAATAGAAAGTAGATCTGGAAAAATGTGAGAGCTCTTTTTTTTTTTTTTTTTTGCATCATGAGCTGCTTTGGCGGGCCAACCTGGCCCTGTTACTCAAATTCCAGTGTCAGGACTTTATATGGCTCCTTTCCAAATGGAGAGAGTACTGGGCAGGTGCTTGTACTTGGGATTATTATTGTTGTCGAATGTTATTATTAACGTTAATAGCATTATTATTATTGTGCTCAAACATCACCCTCTCTGTGAAGTACGCCCTGACCACCCTACCTAAAATTGCAGCCCACTCCCATCTCCTCTCTGGACACTCCAATTCCTCTTATGTTACTTCTTTTAAATGCACAAGGCTTGGCACACAGCAGGTGCCCAATAAATGTTAAGGGAATAAAGCTTGAGAAAGCGAGTTGATGATGCATATTCCTATGGTTAAAGGTGAACCTTCCTGAGAATTAAAGATGCCAGCTTCCTTCTGACCTCTCTTTCCCTCAGCTGGGTCTGCTCTCTGAGAACTGATTCTCGCTCTCAGAACTCTAGAAGAATCTGGGTTCACCACTCAAACAGGTACAGATTTTGCTAGTTTAAGGTCTAGTTTCCAGTCTGAGCATTCCTATGTTAGTAATAGTATTTTCTAATAAGCCTGTAGGCATGAAGATAAGGAAATGTATTCCTTGTGGAGAAGGACGGCAAGAGTGTATGGAATGTGACGGGTCCTAAGGGGTCCTTATTTCTGAGGGGAATCCTCTGGGGCCTTTGTCTGTTCTTCAGAGTGGGACATGTTCACTTCCAGAGAGGAACTCAGGGCGGGTGACTCTGTCAGGGATCCATCCACTCCTTCACCTCACTCTTCTCCAGAAAGCTGTCAGTTCCGGTATTGTTAAAAGTGAATTTTCAATTATTAGTCTATTTCACTTAGTTCTTTTATTCTATACAAATTAGCTACTTGTTACAGGATGCATGAACTTGAAAAGACCCTCCAGGGACTTTTTACAGACGAAACCTAATATTTAATCAATTTGAAGTAGAGTTGTTTTAGAACTATAGTTGAAAAAGGAACTCTTTGGCTGAAATGGACCTTAACCATTAATTTAGCGAGGGAAGAATTGGTACACAGAGGAAGTCATAAAGAGGAACGTGAAAATATGTCATTGTAAAATAGAACCGATATGTGGTATACCTAGCTGAAATTAAAAAAAAAAAAAAACACTTGTTTCTGTATAGTTCATACTTTTGCCTTTTTTCTCTGTAAATTTTCGGGAAGACTTCTGACTAAATTTCAATTTACTGAAATGGGAAATGAACGGCACAATAACTTAATTTTCACTTTGAAAGCCTCAGTGCCATATTCCAACTACTTAATGTGTTTATAATCTTACTATTTTTTTTTTTCTTTTTGAGGAAAAGAAGATTGCCCTGGGTTCTGTCAAGGGCAATAAACATTAGTTTTTCAATTCTTCACAATGGAAATACTGACTTTCAGACACCTAGAACAAGGTCGAATAAATACAGCAGTGAAGATTATTTCATTTCACAGCCAGGAACTAGAGAAACAATTTTTAATATAAAAATCAAATAGCTCAGAGGGTGTAAAAGATTTTTTTTTTCTTCCAAAGTGAAGTCACTGAGCTGCTGTGTCTGAGCACATCAGGCGATTCCCTTCAATTTTGTTCTTGAAGTCTAAAAAAAGTGACTTCAGTGTGGAGAAATAGGAGGGAAAATTTAAAATCAGAAGATGCACTCCGGATTTTGGTCTAGGTCAAAGATTCTGAATATTTTAAGTACTTTCAAAAACAAGATAATCATAGCAAACTCTCTGGCTACTCTGGGTTTTCATTTTCCCAGGGAGAAGGAGAATAGCTGAGGTGGCTTCCTGGGGAGGGCGAGGGTGGAGAAAGTTGGCATTTTCCAGGGTGTCCAGGAGGGAGGAGAGTGGATGTGTTGTTTCCATGGACACACTACTGCTCCATTTTTCCTCTAGGTGGTGACAAATGTGATTGGATTTTGCCTGGTGAGGTGTAGTCTAGTTTATGGGCAATTTGTTCCCATAAAATTCTTCTGATTTTTTTCCCCCTATAACCTTTATACAAGTATTTTATTTCCAAGCTAGAATTACTTTGTGATCTTTGGAGATTTGCTTAATTTTTTCTAAAGGGATATGTGTAGGCTAATGGAATAATCCAAACAGTTTTTTTTTTTTTTTCTTAATCATCAAAAAAGTATCCATCTGTATATTCGGGATCCTATGATTCTCTTGACTGCTTTTAGGGAATTATGACTATTGCCCTATCTCTATTTGCATTTGAAACCCTCGGTGAAAATCCCAGTCTTCCTGAATACGGTATGCAGCCATGTCTTCAGAGCATGGACCGCTTCAGCGAGAGTTATCGGGTGCCATGGAGGTAATAAGAGTTTAAGTAAGGGTGTTCTCCAATTTAAAAAGAAAAGTGTGGAACAAGGTTCTACCTGCGTATTTTAATTAGTTAGGAGGTAGAAGCCTTTGAGAAAGCAGAGCTTGTGACCCCACGACTCACAGGGTCTAATAACAGTAACCTTTAGACAACAGCTGTAATGTAAAAGGCCCGTGCCAAAAACAACACAGCAGAGCCGAGTTCCTGTCCCTTAAAGCAGGACAGCTGACATGGTCGCTGAGTTGAACAACAGCAAAGAACAAAACAAACAAACAATAATCCAGACCAAGGTTTTTTGGAGAAAAGAAAATGAAATCGTCAGAAGTTAGATTTTCAAAAAAAGAATTATCTTATGGAAAAATGTCCACCTTATCCATAGACTTCTGGTTCCTTACCATTGGCTAAGAAAACATTTCAACTTATGAAATCCTTTCTGGGTGAAACTGGGATATTGTATCTACTTAGTAAAAATCCTAAATTGAGATTCACATTATTAGTTGTGCTATGACAGTTTGAAGGGCAAAGAAAGATATTCCTGATTTAGCATAAGGTTTGAAAACGTACTCATTTCTTTCTGACAGCTAATTTCAGTGGCAGAAAATGCTGAGACATTGGGACGTTGATTTCCAGAGATTTTTTTTCTTAAAACAGTTGTATCAAAAGTTGTAGCTATGATAAATGATTTTGCCACAGATTTCTATGTTATTGGCAAATGCAGGGCCTTATAAACATTTTTTTTAAAAGTCAGGTGATTTAAGAAAAGTAATTCATTTCTTCTTAGACTCCCAGAACAAACATAAAAAATTCACTATCCCAGTATTAAGAAAATAGTTTCCAAATCTATTGCATACACTGCATTCCTTTATTGGGATCTAATTCAGTTTGTGGCTCTGCTGGAAGCTGATCTTTTAGGATTAATCTGATACGTGCTTTTACCTGCTTTTCTCTTGTTTAATGCCGAGATTAAGGATAGCACATTCATTTTCATTCTGTTAGGCTACTACCACTCTACAAATAAAAGCTTCAGGTTATTGTTTTATTTTTTTTTTCTCTCCCCCTTTAAAAAAATGTTAACTTTTTGATACATCTGTTTAGAAAGTTTTCAAGTTGTGGATCTGTTTTTTAATCTAATGTTGCTCAAACAGAAGTTTACGGGAAAGCTGCATTTTTAAGGTACACAGCAGGTACATGATAGTTAACCAAAGTGCCTTAAAGCTTCTGATTGCAGTTTAACCTGTAGGCACAGTCTTTTAAAAGATCAGGAACGTTGCCCTGCACTGAGATTCTGAAGCCGGGAGTTTCAGAGGGGTCACAAGGGTTAAGAGAGAAGCAGAGACGCAGTCCTGTCAGTGAAAGCTGACGGTTCTGTTTTTCCTCTTACAGCTCAGGGACCGGGGCAGCTGGCACAGTCCTGCCGTTCCTCTCCGCTCTCCGCAACCACCTTAAAGAGTTAGAACTGCGCGCCGACTTACCGTGATGGCCTGGAGTCTTCCCTTCACCAGCTCAGCTTCCTCCATTCTAGAAGTCAAGGACAGGCAGACGGTGAAGCAAATCCAAAGCTACCATAAATCAAGGAGCCTCGGTGGAGAGAGGAGTGGGGGTGACAAACCCGCTCTTTGCACTAGTGGAGAGATGGAGAATTTCCGACTTGTCAGGAGCGTCTCTGAGCAGATGCACGGATCGGGCCAGACAGACACATGTAATGAGGGTGTGCTGGGGAGGCAGACGCTGAGGCTGCTGGCACGAGCTGACTGACAAGTTTGAACGGCAGCGGCACAAGCCCTTTTCCTTCAGGAGCTGCCAGCTCTTTGTTATAATGTGCACAGCGAGCAAGGCACGTTTTCTTATTAACTGTTCCTTACCCAATTCATTATTTTCCCGGAGCTGCCCAGAAAGCCAACATGCTGAGTGTTTAATCAGCCTCTGCTCCAGCAACAGACAGCCATCCCTGGATGTGCGTGTGCGTGTGTGTGTGTGTGTGTGTGTGTACAAAGCCTGTTTACCTGTTCTGGAGCTCCCAGAGCTTGTAGAGAGGCACAGCCTCACCTTGACTGGGGGCAGAAGTGCCAAGTCACTTGTTTGCCTTTCTTCCTCGGACTGGTTTTAGAAATAATAGAAAATCCTATAGTTACTTTAAACTTCACAGACGGGGGAATTTAAATAAGCTGTTCTCCCTCCTTCTCTCCCCCCTCCCCCAGCATTTTGTTGCAGACTTCGGAATCTTTAGGTCATGAAGAAATCAGAGGTGTTAACGTGACTATATTAAGAAGTTGGCCCACCAGGAGGGTTCAGAGTGGCTTAGACATCGAGTGCCACCCTCTGTGACTGCTTGACTTGGGTTTCTGTGGAATGCAGCTCTCTCTTGGACCTTGTTCAGAAATGACACTCTCGGCTTTCAGGAAGGTGCCCATTTTGACCTCACCAGTTACGCAAGAGAAAGGAGTGAACCTTTGAAAGCGTGATGAGACATTCTGTAACTGCTTGCGGCCTGACACTGCCTGGATGTTCCTTTGCCCTTTAGAAAAAAGGCTGTCAAGCCTTTTTTGAAACTCAGTTCAAAGCCGAGGTTGGGAAGCTGTGCAATTGACTTTGTCTGTTTTCTTTCCCTTACCAGTTCTTTAATTAAATTTTGATGGAGTAAACTCTAATTACCCGTCTACCTCATTATTATGTTGTTGGCTGTTATCAGGCACATTCATATTAACATTCAGCTGAACAGGTTAAAAAGACATGCATTGAATATATAGTTTAATTTCCTTTGTATTTTTGACTGGTGTGATAATAAGAGCTAATATTTGTTGCTGAGTATGAGAAAGGCAAACGTGCTATTTATCTTACAAGGTGCCGCCTGAGAGACAGGTGTTATTATCCCTATTTTAAGAATGATGAAATAGGGTCCGAGACATAATTTGCCACATGTCTGAAGAGTAGCAAAGCCAGGACTGGAACCTTGGCCTTGTGATTTTATAACAGACATTCCTCAAGGCCAGGCCAAGGACACAGGGCAAAGGGAGGCATAAGCTGAAGGTCTAATCAGTCTTTATGAGGGAGAGCTGGACCCCAATCTCTCCTTCCTCCATCTAGCTCCCAGAACATTATAGCTGGGTATAAACTCCCCAGGCAGAACCCTGCGGGACCTTCTCTGTGCAAACTTATTAGTCACAGTGAGACAAGATTTCCCCATATTGTCATTTGGAGCTAGCATTTGGGGAATCCTAGAGCCCACATCCGGAGCCAGTCATACAGTGCTGAAACCTACCAGTTTCAAGACTCTGAAATAATACTTGAGAGTAATTTGTCCTTGCTCATACATCCCGAGAAGAGATGTGTCGGGAGCCTAGAGAATAGGTGACTTGATTAGGTGTGGGCCAACTTTGGTTACTATTGGATGGATATTTAAGCTTAAAAAAAAATCAAATCTTCAAACATCTTGATTTTCTTTATTTGCAGATCCTGGCTGAATGTGAAGACAAGAAAGCAGTAGTGATAAATATCTCAGTAAAAATTGCTTATTTGCTGCCCAGGACAGATGGGCAGTCATCCAATTTTTAGTCTGGATCGTTTCCTAAACCAATTTACTTCTCAAATCCCTTTTTTTGCTATAGGAAAACCTAAGGGTTTTCTGGTGTGGGAGAGGACTCAATAAAGTAAGAGGACTAGAGAATTTAGGAGGGAGCAGAGTTGTGACAACTGGTTGATATCATCATGTGCTCATTCATTTATATAGTTGATAGTACTAATAATTACTAACTTTTTTTTTTTTTTTTGAGATAGTCTTCCTCTGTAGGCTGGGCTAGAGTGCAGTGACATCATCATAGCTCACCACAACCTTAAATTCCTGGGCTCAGGCAATCCTCCTGCCTCAGCCTCCCGAGTAGCTGGGACTACAGGCATGTGCCGCCATACCCAGTTATATATATTTTTTATTTTTGGTAGAGACCAGATCTCGCTCTTGCTCAGACTGGTCTCAAACTCCTGACTTCAAGCAATCCTAGCCTCCCAGACAGCTAGGATTACAGGCCTGAGCCATCACACCCAGCCAGTTGCTACCATTTTTAAATGCATTTATTATTTATTCATTCTGCACATATTAACTGAGCACTTGTGATGTGTCAGGCACTGTGACAGGTGTTTGGGATACATAGATGAGCAAAATTCCTGCTTTCCTGGAGCCTATATTCTTATTATGGTGTATAATAAAAGATGACTGGGGCAGCACCTGTGGCTCAAAGGAGTAGGGCCCTGCCCCATATGTCGGAGGTGGTGGGTTCAACCCCAGCCCCGGCTAAAAACTGCAAAAAAAAAAAAAAAAAAAAAGATGAATGTCATAAGTAAACAAAATGGAGTAGATGAGGGAGTAATTACGCTATTCTAGGTCCTGTGAGAAACAAATGCCAAGATAGATGAAATGTGCAGGATTTTATTAAGAGAAATGACTGTATAAGAGAAAATGGAGGTAGGCAGAAAAGGCTGGAGCCGGGAAAGTCTGGGAGGCCTGCGTGGAATCCTGGAGTCAGGACTCTCTGACGGCCTTGCTGGGCTCCCTCAGATTGCAGATTAGGCTGTTTTCACTTACATTTCCCTCTATTCGCTTTCACTGGGGTTTCCCAGACTGTCCCAGTTCCCGCCTTTCCTGCTGACCTCTCCATTTTCTTTCTCTCTCTCTCTCTCTCTCTTTTTTTTTTTTGCAGTTTTTGGCCAGGGCAGGGTTTGAACCTGCCTCCTCTGGCATATGGGGCTGGTACCCTACTCCTTTGAGCCACAGGTGCCGCCCCCCCATTTTCTCTCTTATACAGTCATTTTGCTTAATAAAATCCTGTACATTTAATCCATCAGAGTATTATTGCTTAGAGAAACTTAGAATGACATAATAACCTCCTCATATTTTATTTACTTATTATATTTATCTTTCTTTTTTTTTTTTTTTTTTTCTACCCCTTGCCTGGAGAAATTCTAGCTATAATTTTTCCTTAAATTTAGTTTTTCTTTTTTTTTTATTGAACGGTAACTATGTACATTAATGCACTTCTAGGGTACAGTGTGGGGTTTTCACATGCAATCTGAAATACTTCCATCAACTGGTCAACACAGCCTTCATGTCATTTATATTTATCTTTCATTGTCTTCCAGAATATAGGTTTCAGGAGATTAAGAATTTTGTTCATCCATGTATCCCAAACCCCTGGCAGGGTGCCTGGCACATCACAGATGCTCAATACATACATAATGAATGAATAACAAATGCTTTAAAATATTAGCAATTACTGGTATTATTAAGTACACAAATGAGTGAACACATGATGGTATCAATCAGTTGTCAGCTACCAGAGTGGTCCAGTCTGTCTCGGGAATGAGCCTACTTTAGCATTCCTCCCCAGCTCAGTCATTGGCTGGGAGTAGCCCCTAGGAAGTATGGCTTTTGATACCAACATGTGGATGGATTTCAGAGTGCAGCAGCTGGGACTCTTTGTCAATAATGCTCCTCTAGTTGAATGACTGAGAGGCACTTACTCATGACAGCCATAGTGATAAATGCTATGGAGAGAAAATAGAGCAGAGAGGAGAATAGAGATTGCTAACACATAGTTGGTTGCAATGAAGGTGGTCAGTGAGAGGTGGGACTTAGGCATGAGGATACTGATGGGAAAAGTAGTATTGGCACAAGTCTGTGCAAAGGCCCCACAATGGACTATACCTGGCATATTTTAGGAACAAGGCTAGTGTGGTTCCAAGGGGATACTGAGAGCAATAGGGGACATGGTCAGAAATATAATAGGTCCCAATCCATGCAGGATCTGCCAAGCCATTATATGAACTTTAGATTTTACTCTGTGCAGGGTGAGAAATCATAGAGATGTTTTGAGCAGAGGAGTGCTTTGCAAAAATGGAAGCAGATGGACTAGGTAGGACGCTGTTACACTAATCCAGGTGAGAAATAATGGTGGTAGAGGCCTAGGCAGTAACCACGAGAATGGTGGGAATTTGTTGAATCATGGATATCTTCTAATCCTGCTGGTAGATTAGAATTGGTTTGAGAGGGTTTGATATGGGGAAGAGAGTATTCACAATAACTCTGAGACTCTTGGTCTGAGCAACTGAAGTTGCCGTAAATTGAAACGGGAGAGTTGATGAAATAGTTTTTCCTGAGGGACAGAGATAGACACCAAGAGCTCAGTTTTGGACAAGTCAATTAGTTCTATACACATGGAGATGTTGAGCAAGTAATCAGATACTTGTATATGAGGTTGGAGTTTAGGAAAGAAGTCTCAGATGGATTTATAATGTTTATTATATCTCTAGAAGTAAGCAGGATCATAAAGTATCTAGAATTATATTTGTAGAGTCCTGGGAACTCTAGACACATAGAAAAGTCCTCAACAGCATAATTTAGTGAGCTACTGTTCATTAAATGTTAACTATATATTCATAACCAAATTCAGTCTTTATAAAAAATACATAATATAAATCTATTGGCTCTCAATCATCTAGTTTTATTAAATATTTTGTTGTTTGCCAGCCAGTGTAAATGAAGATGGCAAGAATTAAAAGTTATAATTACTTATCTGACATTATATTAGAAATTAAGAGATATAAGAGATTCTGAGTCATTGACACTTTTTACAATGAATTTAAAAGCGAGATAAGACATTCTCAAAACAGTCAGAAGACAAAACCAACTGCCCTTATATTTTGATAAAGCAAAGCTGAGGGTGAAAATCTGGGTATTTAAGGGAAGAGTCATATTTTGATGTGTTTGTAATGTTAGAAATAATGATTTAATAAGTTTAAGGTTAATATTTAACTGTTTATTTTAAGTAGGCTAGAAGTTAAATTAAGAAAATGATTGCAGATGACGGACAAAAGAAATAGAGAGAGTACGGAAGTGGATCATTGAAAAACAGATACACATTCAGACTATAAGACCTATGCTAAGAAATTCAAAGTTTGTTGCAAGAGTGACAGCTTGAAGTCTGGCCCTTTAAGAAAAGC